TCCCCCCCCCCCACACACACACACACATAACCTGGAGCTTACTGAATTCTCTTGCCATGGTAGCAGCTGCTCCCTACAGGGCCTGCATGGAGGAGGAGCCTATCAATGACCCACCCTGCCCCAAAGAGGAGCACCAGGTACCACATGACTGCACCGCAGGGTACTGGCTGAGCTGGGGCTGGTGCACTCTTCTCCAGATCAGGTTCAGTCAGCACCTAAACTCACCTCGTCCACACTCAAGGAATCCAGACTCTCTCCAAACCACTGGCCCAGGCTCCACAGCTCCCCCTGGTGTCCTGCCTCTGTCCCAGCTGCAGCTTAATGAGGGCACATTCACTGGGAGCCTCCCGCATGCCAGGAGCTCATCAGCCTTTACTGGGCACTTACTATGCAAGGGGACCCTTGAAGATGCACATGAGGGGCCGACAGGTGGCGTGGTGGTTAAGGGCTCTGGACTCCCACATGGCCAACCACAGTCTGAGTTCCGGATCTGGTGGCTTACCGTCTCACCTTCTCTCTCTCATTCTGTCCCTCTCTTGTCAAAATAAAATAAATAAATAACATTAAATAAAATAATTCTTTTAATTTTTTTTTAAAAAAGAGGTAGAGTACATAGAAAAATGAAATTAAAACAGTTTATTCTGGTGTAAATTTTTGAAATCTATAGATAGTATTTTTTTTATAATACATACTTCCCATGAACTTTATTTATGTTTAGGTCTTTGTCATAGGGTGCATGTACTCATCAGAGAGAGAGAGGGGTAGGGGGGGAGTGAGAAATCACTCTCTAGGGGAAATAGCCATGCCACAATCCCTTCTCCTCCAGTCTCTTCTCAGCATTTTGGGCACACGTGTCCACACACATGGTATGATTTTCAAGTCACCAGGTCTGGGACTTGAAATGTGGCCGGTCATGTGGGAATGCAGCGCCTGAACCACCAAGGCACCATGCCACCTGCTGGCCCCACCACAAACTTTATTTTGAATAGCCAGAGGGCACATGCACTTGCCAGAAACAAGAGAGGGAGTGGAACAAAGCCCTCTCCAACGGGGTGTGTTCACACCAGTCTCTTCTCCATTTCTCTACCCTGTTGGGATGGGGGTGGGCACACACATACTCAGTGTCTCTCTCAAGCTGCCAGGCTGGGACTGGAACCATGCAGTTGACCATATGGGATCCCGCTCCCTTAACCACCAGGCCATGGACTGTCCCCCATGAACTTGTTGAAGACCTCGTACATGTGTCAGGCTCTTCCCACACAGGATTTCACTTACTCTAACCATAACCCCGTTCACGTGATGCCATCCCCGCTTTTAGGAATGATGCCACTAAAGTTTAGCCAGCGCTACTTCTGGTGCTGGCCACTCTGCTAAGCACTTCACTTGCATTCTCTCATCTATCTTCCTCGAGCCCCTCCCAGGTAGGCACTCATGATGTCTGTTTCACAGCTCAGGGGAGACCCCTGGAAAGGTCATGTCCCATCTGTCCCCAGAGACCTGTGTCCCTCAGAGTTGCCAACCACCACCTCTGTCTCTCCCTGTCCTCTGTCCGCCCATCTCCACCTCGCTTTCCACCATGCCTGTCTCTCCCCTTCGCCCCCCCTTCCCTACTCTGTTAGCCTCTCACTCTCTCCAGCTCTCCCTCATGTCTCTCAGTCTCTCCCTCCATCCTCCCTCTCACACATGCTGGGTCCTCCCGCCTGCTCTGATCCTCTGACACCTCTCCCCCTCCAGATTGGGCTGGTGGTCATCCTGGTGTTCACAGTGGTAGCCATGGCGGCCGTGGCCCAGCTGTGGGAAGATGAGTGGGAGGTGCTGCTGATCTCCCTGCAGGTGAGCATGGGCGGCGATGGGGCCGCGGCTGCTTTCCCGGGGCTTGTAGGAGGATGCTCCAGAACACAGCTCAGAACAGGCAGGGAGGTCCGGGGTCCCACAGCAGGTCAGAGGCAGGGAGGATGCTGCAGCCAGGGTCTGAGACTCCCATGGGAGTCATAGTTGACAAATGGAGACAGGCTTGCCTGCTCCATAGATAGAGGGAGGAGGCTCGAGGACACTGGTGACAGATGGTCTGAGCACAGCTGGAAGTCACCGACCTCTGGCACTTCTTCCCACACACAGGGCACAGCACCGTTCCTGCACGTGGGGGCCCTGGCCGCGGTCACAGCACTCTCCTGGATCGTCGCGGGACAGTTTGCCCGTGCCGAGCGCTCCTGTGAGTACACCTGAGTGCAGCCTGCCCCCCAACCCCTGCAAGTGCCACAGCCAACTATCCCTGCTGGCCCGTGGATAAGGTGGGGCTCCCAATTCTGGCTCAGAGAGGCCCATGAGGATTAGAGCAGGGTCCACCTTCCCAGCAAGAACAGGGCCGCCCCCAGATCAGCTGGCTTCTGACAGGTGAGGAAGAAGGGTTCAGAGCCCCACTCCCAACCCGCCCAGGGCTCCAGGTTGGGCCCGGCAGAAGCCAACAGCTCACCAGGTGGTACTCCGGCCATGTCCGCAGCCTCCCAGGCGACCATCCTCTGTGCCTTCCTCGCCGTGGTGGCTGCCCTCTACCTGGCCCCTCTCGCCATCTGCTCTCCCTGCATCATGGAGAAAAAGGACCTGGGCCCCAAGCCCGCCCTCATCGGCCACCGCGGAGCCCCCATGGTGAGTGCCACCTGTGGGTCCTCAGCTGATGGGGGCGGGTACCCTGCCCTTCCACAGAGGGCCTTGCTGGGCAACAAGATAATACATGTGCTGTGAGAATAGCGACCTTTTAGCTCTTTCTGGGGAAGCACATGGGGAAAACTGGTGAAAAGATCCAGGATAGTACGATGGGCAGCCAGGTGGTGACACAGCGGTGGTGCAATTGAACCCGTGTGGGAGGGGTCCTGGGACCTTCCTGAGCATGCGGGGCCCATGCATGCCTGTGATTCCCACTGGGTAAGGCTGAAGGTTGAGAGCCACACGGGGGCCTTGTTGGGGTGTTGTCTCACCCTTGAATGGAAGAAATAATTAAACCGTTTTAAAAAGGAGAGGGAGCTGGATCATGTATGGCCTACCATAGTTTGAATTCCAGCCCTGGCTCCTTGTCAAACACACTGGGCACATGTGCATGCATCCCCAGATCCCGAAAGGAGGAAGAAATGGAGAGAAGGGATTGTGGTGTGACCATACTCCATGAAGGTGTTTTCTCCTCGCTCTCTCTCTCTCTTTCTGTCTCTCTATCTCTATCTCTGGTGAGCACACGTGCCCTCTGGCAATTAAAAAAATTGCTTGATGAGGCCAGCAGGTGGTGTGATGGTTAAGGCACTGGACTCCCATGTAGTCGACTGCGGTTTGAGTCCCAGACCTGATGACTTGCTTTCTCACTTTTCCTCTCTCTATCTCTGTCTCTCTCTGGCAAGCACAGAGTGCGTCTGTCTCCTATGGCAAAAACCTAAGGGGAAAAACAAAAGAAAAGCAAAGCTTGGATGGGACCAGAGTTTGCAGAGCTCAGAAGGCATCTGGCTAAAAAGATTGAAACGTTATCCTGAGCACCTCACGGAGAGGCAGGAAGGCTTTAGGCTGGGGCCAGACATGGCCAGGTTTCAGGTTAGGGGGGGTTCAGGAGAGAGAGACTGGGCCGAGGGCTGTGACCAGGCAGCAGGAGAACCCCCAGGCTATGCGTGCTGTGGGGGTGGGGGGCAACTATGGAGTTGGGAGGTGTCAGCCTCCACCGTTCTGCCACCCAGGGGCCGTCGGCCATGCAGGAGAGCTGAGGTAGGGGGTGGCTGGAAATCTCACAGGCCACGTCAGCTGTGAGCTGAGCAGCCTGTGCCGCCTCTGTGCCTCATCTCGCACAATGTTGCACACACAGGTGCAAGTGCGTGACCGTGTCCTCATGTGAGAACAGCAAGAATGCCTGCATGGCCTCATGAGAAGCAGGTCTCGGTGAATGTGAAGGCCCCAGACATGCACTGACATGCAGAAACCTGCTACCTTGAGCACTCCCCACTTGGGACCAGGGGCTCCTTGCCCATGGAAGTCTCAAACCTGCACTTCTCATAGAGGTAGTTTGCCCTCAACCCAGGGACTTTGGGACCCTCCTGGGGTTTGGTCTATGGTAGGAGTTCAGCTTTGTCATCGGATTTCAGAGTTCAAAAGGGGGCCTTCAATAACTTTTTAAAAGAGGTTTTTGCCTTAGGGCATGTACACTCACCAGAAACGGAGAGAGACAGAGATAGTGAGAGGGAAAGTGAGAAATCACCCTCCAGGGAAGATGGCCATGCCACAATCCCTTTTCCTCCTTCCCCCTCCCAGGATTTTGGGCACACACGCACATGTGACTTGAACCAAGGTCAGCCATGTGTAAGTCCAGCAACATAACCACTATGCTATTTACTGGCCCCCATAATAACCTTTTGAAGGATGTGCTGCATCTGCTGCTGCTGCAAATCACCCTGAAATCCTCCTACTGGGCATAGTAGGTATTACTTTCCAGAGGCCCATGCCCTGGGCTGGACACTGGTGCCCTCCACAAAACCCTTCCTCAAGGTTGGCCCTGGCCCTGACCCTGGCCCTGACCCTGGGCTCTCTGGAAGCAGTGGCTAGGATTTAGACTTGGGTCCAATTTTACCACATGCTGCCTGTGAGCCTCGAGAGTCACAAGTCTCCTCCAAGCCTCAGAATTAGTGATACCATGCCAGTGGCTATTGGAGGAAGCGTGGCCTTCCAAGACCCTCCCAAGGGGTCCACGTGTCATGGGTGAGGGTGGGGGGCTCTCTTGTCAGAGCTTGAGATTTCCCATATCACCTGCTCTGGACGCCAGAGGACACACATGGTGTGCCAATGCAGGATGGTGGCAGGGAAGTGAGCCAGGGTTGTTTTCTTCAGCAGAAAAATGTCAAGCATACATGCAAGTGGTGACAATAGTATAAGATAGGGGTTCCCAACCCCTGGGCCACGGCCCATGGCCTGTTAGGAACCGGGCCATACGGCAGGAAGTGAGTGGTGGGCGAGGTCAGAGCTTCATCTGTATTTACAGCCACTCCCCATTACTCGCGTTACTGACTGAGCCTGGCCACCTGTCAGATAAGCAGCACTGGGTTCTCATAGGAGCACGAACCCTCTTATAAACTGTGCGTAGGAGAGGTCTAGGTCGTGTGCTCTTGTAAATGATCACCACCCCCCTCCATCCACAGAAAAATTGTCTTCCATGAAACCAGTCCCTGGTGCCAAAAAGGTAGGGGACCACTGTTACAAGGAATCTTGTCACAAAGATCAGTCTAACGGGCCTAACCCCGCCTTCAGCCCTTATCAACATTTTGCTCTTCTTGCTTCATCTCCCTACCCCCTTTCCCCCTGCTGTAGGAAAGCAAATCCCAGATATCATATCGTTTTACACACTCCAGAGTGTATCTAACCAGAACCGCAGTGCTGTTCTTACGGCAGCCAAGTAACAGCAATTCCCTAATGCTTTCTGATTCATGTTCGATTTTCCTTTGTTGCCTCAAAAACAACTTTTTCTATTGTTAGTTCAGTTGTTCAAAATCAGGATTCAAACAAGGCCCGCAAAGTACATCTGGCCGACCTGTCTGCTAGGTCTCTGTCAGCCGTCACAAGCCCCCCACTTCTCCCTGATGCTATTCACTGGCTGAGGAAGCCCCGTGATTTGTCCTGTAGAACAGCTCCCATCACACGTCTGTCTGGTAGTGTGCTCTTGGGGGGTTTTGAGGGCTGTCAAGGGTCTGCTCTGTGTGTCCCTGTGAATGCATGGGGATCAGTGTCTACCCCTGTGTGTATCCGCGTGTGGGTCCTCAGACAATATCGGGGTTGAGGTGCTGACCCTGGGCCTGTGGATCTATCTGTGATTGGCCCAGGTACACATCTCTGTCTTGGGGGCTGTGTCTGTGTACCCCAAATGTGTTGTTTCTGAGGCTGAGGCTGTGTGTGTGTGTGTGTGTGTGTGTGTGTGTGTGTGGTCAGACTGTCCAGATGTAGGGCTCTTAACCACAGTGTCCTGCTCCCCTGAGTGTAACAACCTTCCAGCCCAACCATGCCCTCACTACGGAACCCTACTTGGACTTGCCTCGGCCGGACGGAGTTCTGAGATGGGAACGAAGATCTAGCCCAGAATCCCCACATGCTTCTTGGGTCCTTCCTGAAGCCCTGAGGCTGGCCAAGGAGGACAGTTTCCCTGCCTCTTCTTCCAGACAGCCAGCACTTCACCCAGGGGATGGGGATTACCTGTGTATAGAGCTTCCAGAAAATCGACCACCCCCTCCAAAAAAAAAAACCTTTCGGTGCCCCCAGGTCCTCATAGCTCCTTCTAACCTTCTTCAATCTACCTGCTACAGCCCCAGCCATGCAGGAGGAAGCACGGGCGCCCCCTGAGAGGCCACCGTGAGGGGCCTGGCTGCAGGATGCGTAGAGGGCAGGTAGAAGATTCCAGGTCCCCTCCTCCCCTGCCGGCTCACACAGCCCTATGGGTTGGAAGGCAGACTGGGAGATGGACCCAAGGCGGCTTTGCCCTGAGGCAAGGGGAAGGGAAGAATTCACATTACAGAGACCCCACTGTGCACCAGCCCGTTTCATAGCCAAAGAAACCAAACCCCTGAGTTGGCCTGAGAAGCGGACTTGTCCTTTTCCATCAGCCCCGAAGTCCTAGCAGAGAGTGTATGGCAGTTGAGGATAGTGTGGTATGAGGGACAAAAGTGGAGACCAGCGCATCCTGGATGGGAACTGGATCAACCCTGAATCCTTCTGGCCCCATCCCTCCCTCTGTCCTCTGCTGTACCCTGGAGGCTGGTCTAAGCCTAATCCTTGTTTGATGCTGACCCCTAGTGGCAGCAAAGAGTATGACGGTGTTCTCAGACCAGGCAGAAGGTGACTGAGAGGTGGTGGACTGAGAACCCCCACTTCTCTCACCTTTAAGGACCCTCAGAGAACAATGAGTACACATCCCCAAGGGGAAAATGGGGAAACTGAGGCAGTAGGAAGAATAAATGAGCCCAAGATGGTAAACCTAGTTAATGGCAGAGGTAAGGCAAGAACCAGGATCTTCCGATTAATACACTTTAGTGCCAACAGCTGCTGTCTATTACGCCCTGTCAGCAGCGTGCTAGGGCGTCTTGTCCGTGGAACAGCCCGGCGAGGGAGATGGCATTGTCATGTGTGCCTAGGTGAGGAAACTGGTTACTCTACTGAAACTAGAGCCAATCTATCCCTCCACCCAGGATCCTCACCTGGACTCAGCTCAGGGCAGAGCCAGGAGAGAAACCTCCCATTCAACCCAACCCAAGGCTTCCACAGAGCCACAGCGGACTGAAAGAAAAAAAGCCCTCCCACCCCCATGCCTAGCCCAGTGCCTGCAATACGGGCAATGATAATATAGTGGTCAGAGCTGCTGTTTCTTAAGTGCTAGCTAACTTGTATCTCTGGCACTTATAGATGTTAGCCCTAATCATTCTGGCCTCCTGCTTCCCTCAAAAGAGTCCCATGAAGTGGGCCAGCAGGTGGCATAGTGGTTAAAGCACTGGATTCCCACATGGTTGACCATAGTTCAAGTCCCAGACCAGGCAGCTTGAAACTCACACCAGGTGCATGTGCGTGCATACCGAAAATCCTGAGAGGAGAGTTGAGGAGTAGGGACTGCAGAATGGCCATCCCCTTCGAGGGATGATTTCTCACTTTCTGTCTGTCTCTGTCTCTGTCTCTCTGGGGAACACATGCACCCTATAGCAAAAGTCTCTTGCAACAAACAAAAAAAGACCCATGAAGTAGGCATGATTTAACAGGTGAGGAAGCTGAGTGTCAGAGAAGCTGAGTGGGTGCCCAGGGTCTCATGGCTACTCTGCAGAGGCAGCAGAGTTAGAAACAGGTCTACCCGAGCCTTCCAACATGGAAGACTCTCCTCTCGCTTGGGAGGGGTACATTGGCTGAATCTCGGCTCTCCCCTGTCCACCCCCCTCCTCAGCTGGCTCCAGAGCACACGCTGATGTCCTTCCGGAAGGCCCTGGAGCAGAAGCTGTACGGGCTCCAGGCTGACGTCACCATCAGGTAGGTTGGGGGATGCCGCCCTCCCCCACCCCCAGCACCTACATGCAGGTCTCTGCTGGGGGAACCTCCTGTCCCAGAGTCTCAGAGGTGAGAGGGTCGGGAGTTAGTTTATCTGTGGCAGGGCAGGCTCCCTGTTGGCACAAATAAGCCTTGTGCCAAACTCCAGGATACATAACAGAGAAAGAACAGATGTCCTTGGTTCGTGCAGCGGTAAGGGTGAGGCTTGGAGACTTGCCAGGGATCCACTTGAACCAAACAACTAGATCTATATGGTTCTGTGTGATAGAGCTCGGACACTGATGAGTGAAAAAAGCAGGTTGCAGGGTAATACGATCACCTTGATGCCAGTGATTGTAAAAGATCACACAGAGTGGGACCAGCAGTTAGCGTAATGGCTATGTCACTGGACTCCCATGTAGTCGACCACGGTTCGAGTCCTGGGCCCGGTGGCTTAAACTCACGCTGGGCACGTGTGCGTGCATGCCCAAGATCCCGAGAGGAGAATGGAGGAGAAGGGATTGCGGCGTGGCCATCCCCCCTGGGGGGTGATTTCTCGCTTTCTGTCTCTCTGTCTCTCTGTGTATGTCTGGCGAGCGTACACACCCTATAGCAAAAACCTCTCCAAAAGAAAAAGAATAAAAGATCACACAGAGTGATACATAGTTTCCTATGTGTAGATACGTAGGCACATATTAGCATGAATGGCAGGAAGAATCCACACCACTCTCTTAATAGGGGTTATCGCTAAGAAAGGGAGTGGGGCGGGGCTGCCATGTACAGTGGCACAGGTTGTACACTGAACAAGAACAGCGTATTGGTGGGGACACTGTTCCCAGTGAAGGCGTAAGAGTTGTGTATTTATCACAACTTCCTCTCGGATGGTAAAAACGCCTTGAGGAATGGGGCCGCAGGTACCCTTTACTGTTCCACACTAAGACGCCATATGAACTGGTGGAGTACATGGGCTGACGGAGGAAGCGGAGGTAGAATTTGTCACATGTGTGCTGTTCTCGTGGTATCACATGGACTTGGAATCAAGCCAGGTTCTACCACTTGCTGTCTGTGGGCCTCGAGTTAGGTACCTCCCTCTGCTAGCCCCAGTTTCCCATTATCAAACGAGGTAGTACCTCCCTTCCCAGGTTGCTAAGAAAACAGGCCCAACCTTCTCCCAGCCTTCCCTCTGCAGCAGTCCCCACCCCTGTCCAGAGACAGGGGGTTGACTCAGGGGTCACCCACCTGCTCACTGTGCTCCCTGTGCAGACAAGGAGCCAGTAGCAGAGATGAGCAGAGCCAGCGGGACCCCGTGGTGGCGGGAGGACAGTGCAGTATCACTGGTGGGCATGGAGGGACCTCAGCAGGTAGTGATGTGAGAGACCTAGGTGGGTAGTGACGCAGCGGCCCCACTTCCCACAGCCTGGACGGTGTGCCCTTCCTCATGCATGACGCCACCCTGCGACGGACCACCAACGTGGAGGAGGAGTTCCCGGAACTGGCACGCAGGCCGGCCTCCATGCTCAACTGGACCGTCCTACAGAGGCTCAACGCTGGCCAGTGGTTCCTGAAGGTCTGCCTGCACCTGCACCTCCACGACCCACCCCGAGAGCACCCCTACCACGGCAGCTTCCTCAACGTCACTGGTCCATTCTTGGGTGTGGAAGACATGGGTGGGGACCCCCAGGAGCAGAGAGGCAGGGGTGGGCAGGAGCTCAGGTGACCTCCCCATTCCCAGAGCTTCTTGGCCTACAGCTGAGCTCCCACTGCAGCCCAGATGTCACGCTGTCACGGCTGGTTCTGGGGGGCCCCCCTCAGGAAAGGTTGATGGTGATGACCACCGTTCATTGTTAAAACTGGTGACGGTAGAACTGGGGAGGTTGGTCTTCTGGTCTGAAATGCTCTGCAAGCAGAACGTGCTGGGGTCTGGGAGCCATTCCAAGTACATCGTTCTCAATAATCAAGGTGCGGGGATCAAACGGCAAGGGCTGGCAGGGGTGGGGAGGACCTGAGTGCCCCCATAGACACAGCCAGCAACTGCCTGATACACATACCAGCAGACTGCTGACCCCGGAAGACTCCTGAGGGCCCCAGAGGGCTGGTAGCACAGCCAGTATGTCACTGTCTCTGTAGACTGACCCCTTCTGGACGGCTGGCTCCCTGTCGCCGGCCGACCACAGGGAAGCCCAGAACCAGTCCGTCTGCAGCCTTGCAGAGCTCCTGGAGCTGGCCAAGGGTAATGCCACACTGCTGCTCAACCTCCACGACCCACCCCGAGAGCACCCCTACCACGGCAGCTTCCTCAACGTCACTGTGGAAGCCGTGCTGCGTTCCGGCTTCCCCCAGCACCAGGTGAGGCCCTGCAGCTCCACCCCTGCATCTCCGCTCCAGACATCCTTCTCACATTTGTAAAACGGGGGCACACACCCCTCACCACAGTGACAGGGTCATCTGCAGATGACAGAACAGCTTGGAAGTCTATTTTTATTTTTTGGTATAGGGTGTGTGCGCTCGCTGGAGAGACAGAGAGACAGAAAGCGAGAAATCACCCCTCAGAGACATGGCCACGCTGCCATCCCTTCTCCTCCCGGGAACTTAGGCACACATGCACATGCACCCAGCATAAGTTTTAAGCCACTGAGTCCAGGACTCAACCCGCAGTGAGCCAGGTGGGAGTCCAGTAACTTAACCATTAGGCCATCTGCTGGTCCCACCTGAAAGTCTTTTAAAATGACAAAGGGCAGAAGCAGTGAAGTCTGGCCCGTGTCACCTGGTGTGCTATTTTGAGACTAGAGAAATCTGACCCCAACTGATGACAGCACGCCTGGAGTAGTGGGTACAGAGTTGCCCATCTTGTGACGATGGTCCAGAAGGGAAGCTTCCTACGTAGCTGAGGCCAGGTTGTCCCCGTTAATCTCGCTTTTCCCTGTGCCAAGCCTCGTCGCTCTCAGCCCTTGCAAGGGCTCCAAGTGGAAAGGAGCCCTCACCCCATTTTGCGGGAGAGAAATCTGATCACCCCCCACACACACACTGCAGGTCCTGTGGCTGCCGAACAGGCAGCGGCCCCTGGTGCGGAAGGTGGCTCCCGGCTTCCAGCAGACGTCCGGCACCAAAGAGGCAGTCGCCAGCCTGCGGAAAGGCCACATCCAGCGGCTGAACCTGCGCTACACTCAGGTGTCCCGCCTGGAGCTCAGGTGCCCCCCTGCCCGACCCCAGCTCACCCAGAGGAGGGCTGGGCATAGGGACTCAGGCCCATGGGATTCAGAGATGAGGGGGTAAGAGTTCATGTCCGGGAGCGGACCTTCCTCCCTGGGGGCTGTGGTGAGACGGCAGGAGAGGTTCAGACTTCACCAGGCGCTCACACGGGGCCCAGTCACAGGGTCCATGCAGCTGACTGACCCGTCCCTGCCCACAGGGAATACGCCTCCTGGAACCTGAGCGTCAACCTCTACACCGTCAACGCCCCCTGGCTCTTCTCCCTGCTGTGGTGTGCGGGGGTTCCCTCCGTCACTTCCGACAACGTGCATGTCCTGTCCCAGGTGCCTTCCCCACTCTGGATCATGGTGAGTCAGGAGGCTACCGGGGGGCCATGGGCATGGGGGTGTGCAGAGCTGTCCGCGGCCTCCCAGCCACTCAGCAAGCTCTGGGGAGGTGTCGGGGGTGGGATGGGGGACACACAGAGGGAGGTGTGGGTTGAGGCAAGAGAGGGATTGTCATGGCCTCTGGGGCTGCACTGAGGTACCTAGAGGACCCCAGCCTGACACACGGGGAGAAAAACACCACTTACCGACCCTAGAGAAGTAAATAGCACTGGGTTGGCTTGGTGGTTGTTTATTATATGTTATTATATTTAAAAGGAAGGGATGTCACTGGAAAAAGACAGTGATGACAGGACAAGAATAGGGGCCACTACAGTCTGCTCAGAAGACAGCAATAAAACCGGGTGTCCACTGGTGGACTGAGCACCTGCAGACAGGCCAGCTCCCAGCTCTGCTCTGTCCCCAAGGGTGTGGGGAGCCATCACGCTCCCTCCTGTGTGGGCTGGAGGCTCCCTCTGCCACCCCCACCCTGAGGGTGTAGAAAGCAGGTGAAGAGTCCTGATGGCAAAGAGGGTACCGATGTCAGTGAACCTGGTCTCAGTTATGGCTGGTTCCCAGGAGAGGGGGTAGACGGCTGGGGAAAGGAAGCAGGACTGAGGGAATTCAAGCTGGGCAGGATGAAGCCTGAAGAGAGGCCTGGGAGAGGCGGAAAGGCTTCGGACAGGGGGCTTCGGGTGCAGGAATTTATCACAGTCCCTCCAAAACCGTGAAGGCTTCCCTTCAGTTTTCGCCTGCCTGTTGTCCTTAAAACCCTCCAAAAGCTCTGCTTGGGGGACCATGTCGCTGGTGTCCAGGGCAGCAGCAAGCCGGGCATTCTGAGAATGCCAGGCCACAGGGCGCTGACTCACAGAAACCTCCCATCCCTCCTCCCCAGTTCCCCTGAGTTGGAGGAGGCGTTGCCCACCCCGGGCCCTCTTTGTGTCTCCAGGCGATGACCATGAAGCCCCCATGCCCATGCCCTCCAGGCCTCAAGCACTGACATGTGTACTCTTACCCCACACGGATGCCATGCACCTCTTCACCAGGCCACATGCCATCTGCTGGGCCCATCACACCTCACATTCACATACCTGTCTGTCATTATGCGGCTCCTGCCAGGAGGCCCCTGAAGTATATAAGCCTCCAGGTCAACACACACCACATCTGTCTACCCTGAGCACCAAAGCTCGCGTACACAGTGCCAGACCCAGGCCCACAGTGCCCAGGGCCCACTGCAAGATGCAGCTATCTCTGGCCCCCAAGCCTGCTGCAGGTCCTCCCCTTCCCCACCCCCTGTGGTCACATGAGGCCCTCTGGCACACAGACCCTTGGTCTGGAACTTCGGTCTGGATGGGCCATGATTGGAGGATGCCTCTGCTATCTGTCCCCAGCCCCCGGACGAGTACTGTCTCCTGTGGGTCACTGCCGACCTGATCTCCTTCACGCTCATCGTGGGCATCTTTGTGCTCCAGAAGTGAGTAGACGCTGACCATCCCAGGCCCTCCCGACCCGATGGCAGGCCTATCCCCACCCCAGCCAGGGAAGCCTACCCTGAGCCCTGAGCCCTTGGCCAGAAGTGGGGCTGGCTGGGGAGAAGGAAGGAGTCTAAGTGGCCCCCAATGTGTCTTTCCTCAACCAGAGGCTAAGGGCTTTTGGGACAAGCACCTGCTAGGAGCCCGGAGCCAGGCTCCATGTGCTCTGCTGTGGGTGAATTCTGGCCTTGTGGCTGGCCTGCTCACCCGACCACCAGGGCCTGGGCTCCCACCAGCACTCAGCATTCGCTCCTGCCCCACTCCTCGGGATGACAGCTGGGACCGTGTTTGTAGTGGGGAGGTGTGGTTGGCCCAGGGAGGGTTTCAGGCCAGCCTGGGGCCCCAACCCAGCCAGGACCCAAGGGCAGGGGTTCTCTTCTTGACTGACGTTCTCTCTCTGCCCCATCCTGGTCTGATCGGCGCATGTCCCTCCTCTCTCCCCTCCCCTCCCTCTGCTGCACTCTGGCATCTCACAGCTATCACTCGATCAGGTAATTCTGGTGTGTTCCTCCTCCTCTTCCTCTTCTCCCTTCTTACTCTCCCCTCTCCAACTCTGTTGGAAACCCTGCCGTGCACCACGCTCTGTTCCTGGGTCACCCTTGCCAACATGTCCCCTTGCCTGAAGTCCCCTACTTCCTCCCGGCCACCCCCTTCTGCTCTGCCCATCTCGCCATGTGTGTCCCTCTGCTCTGTGTCCCTCCTCATCTCTGCAGATGGGGGCCAGCATGTCCTTGACAGGTTCCTGACCTGGCCTCTCAGCACCAGTGTCTCCCCCTCAGGGAGGGGTCCCTGTCTGGGTACCCCAGCCCCGAGTCCAGCACTCACAGGGGCCTTCACCCTGCCCCCTCTCTGTCTCTCTCTTCCTGTGTTGGCTTCTTCCCGTCTGGGTTTGTCTCTTTCTATCTCTTCCTTACTTTCTGTCTCTGACCTTGCCTCTGCTCTCCACCCCTAAACATACAGCCTCTCCCCATTTCTCTGGGGAGGACCCACAATGGCTGAGCTTCCTGTCCTGGATGTGCCTGGCTGCAGAGACTCTGGCCATCCGTCCTCCTAGATTTTAATGTTAATTTCCAAAATGAGATCTAGACTTAGGGGTCCAAGCTCCCCTGGTTAAGTGCCTTAGGCTGCCCCCTGTGTTCCCTAGCTGTGGGACCGATCCCCAGGGCACATTTACCCCATCTTCCGTCCTCTGTCATGCTGGCTGGGGCTGGGCTGGGGCTGGGCTGGAGCTGGGCTGGGGCTGGGCTGGGACCGCAGCAAAGAGCCGGCCTTCCCACGTGGAGCCCTGGCGTGGTGAGGAGGCTGCCTGTGATGGCGCTGGGAGCTGTCACTGACATGCTGGGCCCACTCAGATACAGCCAGGGTGTCAGGAGAGGTCTGAGGGAGAAGGGGACCCTGGGGGACAAGGCAGAGAGAATATCGTTTCCCTGTGGACCTCACTCTTCTGATGTTCACTCAGTGAACACTTGGCGCCTGTGACAGGGCATCGAGTTGAGGCTGGTGCTGGGGACATGCAGTGAGTAAGGATCGCAGGGCCGCCAGCTCAGCCAGAGCCCAGGTGCCCTCCCGCTGCCTCCTGCTTCCCCTTGTCTGCCGTGTTCATCCCCCTCTGCTTGTCCACCCATCTGTCTACTCCTGCCGCACTGACCTCACCTGGAATCTCACCACTGATGTCTTATGGAGTCATGACTCTCCCCACCCACCCCTGCAGAGTCCAGAACCCCGGGGAGGTGGCTCTAGTGTCCAAGCTGACCACGTACTCCTTGCTGGGGCAAGGGGCAGCGGCCCAGCAAATCCTCTGCCGAGATTGCTGGGAAAGTCTACATCAGAGGCCGTGGTTTGGGGCATGTTCAGAGGAACCACAATAGAGAAAGCAGCCCCCTGAGCTGAATAGGGACCAAGGGTCTCCCACTCTGTGCCTGGTCCCTGCAAACCCTGTGCTCACCCCACTATGCCCTGGTCTCAGCCAGCAGGCCTGAGCCTACCTCTCCCTACTGGGTGTCTAAAGCAGACAGCCCACCAGAGTCTTCTAACACCCTTCCTCATGAGCCTCCAAGACCAGGTCTGAGCCAAGCCCCACATGGCCCACCCTTGCCTCCTGCTTTCCTTCTCTCCCACTCTGCGGTCTCCCCTCTGGCTTTGCTCAGTCCAGCCATGATGGTGGAGCTGCAGGAGACATCAGTTGGGACTCCCTGAGACTGGTGTGTGCCCAGGGCAGGTCCTAAAGGCATGCCTACTAAGGCCCTTCTTCCCCACATTCGTCCCATCCAGAAAGAGCCAGGGGCATAGCCGGGGCACCTGAGGCACAGCTAACCAACCTGGTCAGGGCACTGCCTCAGTGCGGGAGGTAGCGGGGAAGCGGGAGAACCCTGGCTGAGAGTCAGGAAACTGATTCCAGCCCCAGCTCTGTCCCTCTCCTGGCTCGGTTTCCCACCTGTACTGTGGGACAAGAGGCTTGCTGGTCTCTCAGGCCACGTCCAGAGAGGCTCTGGAAGCAGGTAGGATCCCTGCTCCAGCGAGGGAGCGGGGAGGGGCCTGATGCCCATGGGCCATGTCTGCAGGTGGCGCCTGGGTGGCATTCGGAGCTACAACCCTGAGCAGATCATGCTGAGTGCTGCGGTGTGTCGGGCCAGCCGGGACGTCAGCATCATGAAAGAGAAGCTGATTTTCTCAGGTATGCAGCCCACAGGCAGGCCGGGCAGGTGCTGGGCTCTGGCCTGCACACCCCGTAACCCGCATGTGCATATGGATGTGTAAGCACGCACACTTACGTGCAGCCCACACAGGCGGGCATACATAAACCCACTGGGTTCATACCTGCACGTGTGCAAGGGCCTGGCACATATACACGCACCTCCACCTGCTGTCAGCAAGCCTAGTCCTGTGGCACAGTCGGTGCTGTGGGCAGTGGGCAGGGGCACATGCAGGGATCCCGGAAGGACTGGGAGCTCTTTCAAAGGCCTGCCCCCTTCGCCTGGGTCTTACACAGACATTGACTCGCCCCTGGTCTCCGCCAGTCCCCACGACATTCCCAGTGTGCTGGAGGAGGCAGCTGGGTAGACAGACATGTCACCAGAGCCCTCAGAGACGGGGGTGCTGAGCAGAAGGGTAGGGTCAGCTCCTGGTGGCAGTGGGGACGAAGGTCTGGATGACTGACAGTTGAAGTGGGAGAGTAGGTAGGAGGGGCCTAGTAATGGGTTTGTGGTGAGGGCTGGGTGGGAGGAGGGAAGGAAGGGCCTTCCAGGTGGGACCAGTAGGTGCTCAGAGGTAGGAGGGAGCACTGCAGGCCTGGCCTCCAGACTGTGAGACCACTCTGCAGGGCCAAGCTCTGCTCAGCAGACCCTTCTCGGCCTCTACTCTGTGCCCAGCCTCTGCCAGGCACTGGGGAGGCAGATTTCCAGACCCCATCCCACCCTTGAGATGCTCAGGTCTGCCAGGGTCCAGGCAGCAGCTGTATAGGCGGCGATCAGGGCAGAGGGAAGCAGGGCTTCAAGGGCCTTTAAGAGGTCCCGTCCCACTCTGGATGGCTTAGAGAGGGCTTCCAGGAGGCTTGAGCCAGATTTTAAGGAAGGGAGGTGTGAACAGGGAGACCATCCCAGGAGAGGGCCCACTATGTGCAAAGGCCCTGAGGAGGGCAATCATGTGGTGCCCAGCTCTGGTGAGCACGGGTGGTTTTCTGCTTTGGGGGAGTGGAGTTCCAGGGACAGCAACTGAGGCCAGAGGGCTCAACAGGCTTCGGAGTGCCCTGAACACCAGGCCCGACGTCAGCTGTAACCCAGTGGTTTCATCAGCCTCCCAGTGCCCAAGCAGCAGGTGCGGCAGGCGACCCCCACAGCCATCTGCAGGCCATCCCCCGGGCCCCCTCCCCTCCGCTCACGTTCTGTCTCCCTTGGCCCGCCAGAAATCAGCGATGGCGTGGAGGTCTCCGATGAGCTCTCCGTGTGTTCAGACAACAGTTACGACACGTATGCCAATAGCACCACCACCTCCGCAGGCTCCCGAGGGGGTGGCAACCGCGCCAAGACTCACAGACCGGAGTGAACACTAGCTGAAGACCTGTCTGTCCCAGTCTGTACCTAATGTAGAAGTCAGGGGATCAGGAGAGCTGGCAGGAGCATGTCTGGACCCAGCGTGCTCTGGGATCCCCTCCACGGTCTCCTCATGGGCTCCAGTCTATCAGCCGCAGCCTCTCTTAGAGGCTCCTCTTCCCCCTGAGGCCCAGCTGGGCCAGCACTCCAGCCCCTGCAGGCCTGGGGCTCTTCTGGGAAGTGCAGGGCCAGGGGCCCAGTTCCTCCTGAGGGTGCCTTGCATCCAGATCTGGAAACTCTGATGGGTCACTGAGCCATGCCATGCCCTGTGGCAATGAAGGATGTGGAGACTCACCTAGGCCCACCGTGTCTGTCCTGTCCATGCCACAAGCTGATGGAATCTCCATTTCTAAGCTGCCTCAAGGGCCTGACCTGGGCCTTTCCCCCCAGCAGCCCTGCTCCTAACATTGTCTCAAAGCACAAGGATCTTCTGCCCAGAGGCAGGCCAGCCACAGCGTGAGACCCGACCTCCTTCCTGCCCAGCCTCTCACCACAGCCAGCCCTGGTGCTGGGAGAGGGTCCAAGCCATGACCCTTGGGATCTGCTGAAGACAGCCAGAAGCTCAAGTTCAAGCTGCTCAACCCCCCGCCCAAGTGTCCAGCAGGCCTCTGGGACAGGGCGGTTCCGAGGCCCAGAAGACTCACAGACTGATATGACTCAGGTCCCATCAGTGGCCACAGGGGGCAGGGGCCACCCGGGAAAGGTGTTCTGGGCATGATCTAGGGTGGGTGTGTGGCCAGGCAGGCCTGCAATGGAGGGGCCCGAGGACCTGGTGAAGACGATTAAAGCTGCCATCTTGCTGTGTGTGGTCTCTGGACCATCAGTGGGAGGGTGGGGATGGAGCACGTTGGGTTTGAGATTCAGTTCTGGCCCCATGATTCGTGCGGGAAACATCCTCAGAAGTGAATGGGCAAGGGGGCAGGATGGTGAGCCACTCCCCTCTTCAGCCACGATGCCAGGGGTACCCTAACAGACTGGAGCTGGGATCCTGTACCCTCGTGGTGTAGACAAGAACAGGGGGAGGGGGGGCATCTTGCAGAGGTGGAGAGAGGTCCAAAGCCACACAGTTTAGGGGAGACCGAGCCAGAATCCCACCTAGCCTCTGGCTGCAGCTGGGAATGGCAGATGGGGAAGACTGGGGCTGAGTAAGGGGACAAGGGGCTAGCTGGTCTCCTCACAACCACAGGGAGGCATTCTGAGCTCCATGGCCAAGGAGCAGGCACTCAGTCCAGCCTCTTCCCACTGCTGCTTTCCACCTGACTGAAGCCCAGCACAGTGGCATCCCAGGCTGAAAGCCAAGCACAGCCCCAACACTGCAGATGTTCCCCCATCAGTCCTGGAGGTTCTGCCCTCTTGCTCTGTGGGAAGGGTCGGTGGTGGAGTCAGGGTGGGCCTGGCACTCTAACCTTGTCCTTAGTCCACGTGGTCTTGGGGGGTACCCTAAGGGAAAAAGAGGAGGCTGCACCAGTTCCAGCCTGCATTACATAGACACTGTGCTTCTTGGGAGCCCAGAGACCTGTTTCTACTCCAGGTGGATTTTCTGGGAGATTCTGCCACCTTTTGGAGGAAGGGAAAAGAACCCTCTCCGGGAACGAGCAGTTAGCGTAATGGCTATGTCGCTGGACTCCCGCGTAGTCGACCGCAGTTCGCGTCCTAGACCCAGTGGCTTAGAACTCACGCCGGGTGCGTGTGCGTGCGTGCCCAAGATCCCGAGAGGAGAATGGAGGAGAAGGGATTGCAGTGTGGCCATCCCCCCTGGGGGGTGATTTCTCGCTTTCTGTCTCTGTGTCTCTCTCTGTCTGCTTGGCAAGCACACACACCCTTATAGCGAAAACCTCTCCAAAAAAAAAGAACCCTCTCTGGGTGTTGGAACCTATGCTGCCTCCCCCCACCAAGGACCTGTAAGACTGCCCCTCAGGAAGTTGAGGCTTCACGCACACACACACCCACTACTGAACACATGGGACAGAGGTCAGCCCCCTTCCAGGGGCACAGGGAGTGAGTGTACCCCACAACTGCTAGAGGCACTGCCTGGCCCAAGACATCCCTGAAACTTGTCTGCTCTCAGAAGAGTGGGCTCGACTCTTCATGCCAATCCTTACCTGTCTAGTCAGCTCCCCTGGGCCCACGGGCCGGGGCATACAAGGCTCCTGGGCACATCTGAGCACCCAAGACATCCTGGAGTCCTCAGGAGGGGGAGCGCTGTGGGGCGAGGGGGCTGAGTTCTGAGCGGAACAGCCAGCCAGAATCCCACTACCATCAGGGGCCTATATGGATGTCCTTTATCCCAAACACAAGGTCAAAGCGAGGCCATTCCCCAGCCAGGCAGACAGCCAAGCCCGGCTCCATCCTCAGCTGAGCCGCAGCCTGTGGCCAATCTCACCTCCTGCTCCTTAGCCTGAGGGTGATCGGGCACCCCACCTTCCCGACATCCTCCTCCAGCTGTGCACTTGGCAGGATTGCCCCCCGTAAACCCATTCGTTTCTCCCCCTTGGACCTCAGGAGGTGAGGCCTCTTCCCAGCTGAGCTCACCCTCTGCCTCCCCCAGACCACTCTGTGAATTCTTAGCCCCCCACTTTCCAAGTCTAGATATAAAGGTGTCTAAATCTCAAATCTCACATCCTTTAACAAACAGCAACACATAAAATCCTCTCTTCCTGGGGCTGGCAGGTGACATGGTGTTTAAAGACACTGGACTCCCACATGGCTGACTGCGGTTCAAGTTCTGGACCTGGCGGCTTGCATTCTCACTCCCCCCCACACCTCTCTGGTCAAATTACAATAAATACACAAAGTAAAATAATTTAGAAAAAAATTTTAAATCCTCTTTTCCTACTACCAGAGGGCTACCAGAGAGGGAAGAGAGGAGAAAGGCGCGGTCTGAAGGGCGCGGTCAAGCCCACCCACAGACACAGTCCTTTCTGAGGGGAGGAGACCGAAGCTCTGAAGGATCACTGGGCCATGCCACACCCCTGAACAGACTCCAGCCATGTCTAGGGACACACACTTGGCCAAGATCAGGCCACCCCTCCGGGCCTGCCTGAGCCCGGGCAGGGCAGGTTCCCACATGCAAGCCTCAGGAGGAGGAATTTCCTCGAGGCCTGTGGCTTCCACCCACACACCCTCTCCTGAGTGTTCCAACAGCCCAAGAGGAGAGGCAGGCAGGCTGGCGCTATCCCTCCTGCTGAGAGGAAGGGCTCCCCAAGGGCGGCCAGCACCCAGCCGGGGCTGCACAGTGAGTCATGGCAGGGCCAGAGCCAGGCCCCGATCCAGGCTCTCGTCAAGGCAGGTTCCTCCCCAAATTGATGCCCTCTTCCTTGAAGGCAAATCCCCTCACCCACCCCGTGGATGCCAGGTCCTGTGCCTATGTTGGGGCAACAAATGGCCCAGCCCCAGCCCCAGCCCGTGGAATACAGGCCAGCCCAGAGCCGCCTTGTTCTCCCCCAACCTGGCCCGCTGCCCAGTGATACTGCACTCCTCCAAGGACCTTGGGCCACCTCGATTCATACCTTACCAGGACACAGGACCACGTACAGGGGACACACACACAGACCATGGAGACACAGGCCTCTGACACATACATGTACATGTCCATTCAGACATACATACCCGCAGTCTACGGATGTACACCCCTCTGAAAGCCACACGGTCACAGAGACACAGACCCTGACATACGTATGTACACACCTATCCACACAGACACACACAGTCCCTGGGCATACCTGCCTCTGTGCTCTGTGATAGACATGGTTCAGTTCTTGGAGACACAGACCCTGATACACATACATACATACATACACACATGTCCACACAGACACACAAAGTCCATGGAGTTACTCTGTGACAGATATCAGGTTCACAGAGACACAGACTCCCAACACACACATATACATGTCCATGCAGATACGTGTCCACGGATGCACGTGCCCTGTGACAGACAGAGGATCACACAGAGCCCTGCAGAGACATGTCTGCTGACAACTGGACACAGACACGGCACAAAGCACACAGAGGCAGGAAAAGGGGAACCTCGGTCTGTCACTGTGGCAGTCACAGTCTTAGTCACACCTGCTACTACACACAGCCACACGTGCACACCCACCCCGATGCCGCACCCACATGTAGGTACCCTGCACACCTACAGTTCACAGCCACCCCATTATACCCCATCGACCTGGGGCAGGCGCTTCTACACACGCACACACACTCACGAGGGGACTTCAAAACATGCACGAAGAAATGGAATTAAAGTAGGAGGTTATAGGAACCAGCAGTTAGCATAATGGCTATGTCGCTGGACTCCCACGTAGTCAACTGTGGTTCGCGTCCCAGACCCGGTGGCTTAAAACTCACGCCGGGTGTGTGTGCGTGTGTGCCCAAGATCCCAAGAGGAGAATGGAGGAAAAGGGATTGCGGCGTGACCATCCCCCCTGGGGGGTGATTTCTCACTTTCTGTCTCTATGTCTCTCTCTGTCTGGCGAGCGCATACGCTCTATAGCAAAAACCTCTCAAAAGAAAAAAAAAGTAGGAGGTTATTTTAGTGCAAACATTTTTGAAATCATGCATAGTCTTTTCATAATACACATATTCCATGAGCTTTCTGAAGATATCATGGACACTGTCACACCCATGCATTGTTCAAGGGACAAGGCCAGCACCCTGATCCCAGAGTTGGACACACAGCCAACCCCACACTTACTCCTGTCCTCTTCCCCCTCCCTCCTCCCCTCCCTGGGCTGGACCAAGAGTGGAACAAAAGCCCAGCACCCCCTCTCCTCTCCTTCTCATATCCCTTCCCCTCCCCCCTGCGTCCAGCCCCTTTGTCCTCCGGCAGCTGAGCCGGAGCTGGAGACCTGGCCAAGCAGCAGGGACAGCCTGGTCTGCCGGCAAGCGGGCTCGGTCACTGTGGGGAGAGGGCCCTGCCAGGGCGGCAGGGAACTTCACCACACTGCGGAGAGATGGGGGGGGAGCGGGCCCTGCCAGCCCGGCAGCCACTTCAAACACCTGGGAGAGGGCGTGGCCAGGTAAGTGCCTGTCAGGCACTGTGGGCGGGACTTGGGACACAGGGTGGCCCTCGCTGTGCAGTGTCCACAGTTCTGAGCGTGTGTTGTGTGAGTGGGGTGGGTATAAAAAGAGGGACGGTGGTGAGTTTGAGTCCATTTCTATGCCTGGATTCCCAGTCGGCGTTGTGCCCCTTGGCTTGAGGTGCCCAGATTCGCAGCCAAGATGGGAGAATGTCCAGGAAGCCTTCCTTCCATGTTCCAGCTGGATGTCCTTCGGCCCCCAGACTGGAATCCCAGATGGGAGCCAGGTCTGATGTCCCTGTGCAGTGGACAGCAGCAGGATGAAGGGAACAAGGCAGCTGACTTCCAGGAGGGAGCGCCCTCCCTGCCCAGGCAGCCTCTTGTGCTGGGACTTCTTTGCCTGGACAAATCCCTCCCCCTGTGGAGACCTGCCCTCTTGGGTCTCAGCCCAGCGTGTGGCTGCTTTCGGGGCCAGGGGGAGATAAACAAGATAAACGGGGCTGCATGCTCGGATGGCCCATCTGGCCTCCCTCCTCTGGTCCAGGGCTGCCCCTCGAGACACACCCCACCCTGGCAAGTCGGGCAGAGCAGCTAGGCATGCAGAGCTGGAGCCAGGCAGGCCTGTTAGGTCAAAGTAGTTTGCTTCCTCGTCCACCAGGGAACTCATTTCCCATGTGCTGAGGCACGGGATCCACTGCCGAGGCTGGCCTGGGCATGGGCCATGAAAGCCAGGATGCCACAGGCCAGGATCCAACCTCCAGAGACAGCAGAGCAGCCGGGCTCAGCAGAGGGCAGGGCTGAGCCTCCCTAGAGTCAGCTGCCACATGAAGGAGCGAGCTTCCTGTCCCTGGGGGTATGCAAGCAGAGGCTGTATGTTCCTGAGGGCCCAGTCACAGCCAGCTGGGACAGCCCTTCATCTGTGGGTGCCCTCACAACACCGCCTTTCCAGCAGGCCTCTGATCGGCGAGTTCCCACACGGCACTTAGTTCCTCATGAACAAGGGAGAGGTGGCAAAGAAACGTCTGGGGGCCTCAGGGGTCTAGTGAGATCATGTACATAAAAGCAACAGCACAGCAGCGGGCTCCCTTTCTCTCAAGTAAAGCCAGTGGAAGGGAACTTTCGAGTTAGTATCCGTACCTAGCACATCTCACATACTCCAAGTATAAGTCACAACCACCTTGTGAGGTCAGCACTGGGATCCCGTTTCAGATGGGATAACTGAGGCCGGGGTGGGGGTTCCCTGCGCAGGCCACACAGTGAGTCAGGGTAGAGGGAGGATCAGGATCCTCACTGGTCCTTGGGGTTCTTCCCCCTTCCCTGCAACGGCTCTTTGAGAACCCACTAAAGGGCCAGCTTCCCTGCTAGCCCTGCGGTTCCCTCCTCCCCTCTGGGCCTTTGCACAGGCTCTTCCTCTCCTGGAGACATCCTCCCTCCTGCCTTTCCTTCCCTTGCCTTGGCTAATTCTACCCCCACCCCCTGGCCTTCCCTGACTCCTCTCCAGCAGGGTTCGGTGCCCCTGGCGGCTTCCCTGACGCTCGACTTTCCATGGGGCCCTTGCCAGGCTGCGAGGGCAGAAAAGGCAGAGGCTGTGACCATCGTGCTCACTGCCTGGCAAAGAAAGTCTGTCTTTTTTATAAGAATTATTTATTTTTATTTATTATTATTTTCATTTTTGTTATAGAGTGTTCACCAGAGAGAGACAGAGAGAGAGGGGAAGTGAGAAAGCAAGCTGCCAGGTCCAAGACTCTAATTGCCATTGACCATGTGGGGGTCCAGTGCCTTAACCACATGCCACCTGCTGTCCCTCAGAAAGGCTCTTAATAAACCCTTGTTCAATACATTCACTGGACCTTGAACAGGTAATAGCACCTACTGTGGCATGATGCTCCTGGGGTGGGGGTGGGGGGGCAGAGAGCAAATCGCATGATCAGGCTTTGGTCAATGACAGGCACCTGCAGGAGGCAGGATAGGCCAAGGAGAGGGCTGTAGAGTTAGTACACACACGCACATACACACACACACACACACACACACACACACACGCACTGGGTCTCTGTGGCGTCGCTGGAATCCATTGACCAAGGACTCCAGCTCCAGCCATGGGACCTTCCCGGATATTCTGTCCAGATTCCAGTAACCTTCCAGAGGAAGGAGGACGGGTGAGGGTAAAGGCTTCCTGCTGTTGGTAACCATGTGACCCAACTCTATCCCAGCTGGAGTCCCTAAACACTGCCTCCACTTTTGCAAATAATTCCTTTATTAGGCTCCTCAAATTACCCTATTTGATAGCGCGCCATATGTCTCTTGCAGACAGAAGAAAGCTTAGCGAATTGGAAGAACAGGACGGCAATATGGTTGAAGTGGGTAAGAGAGAAGGCACAGACAAGGCAGAAGCGAGCTGTTTCTGGCAGGGGCTAGCTCACGGCAGCTAGAAGGAATCCGATGGGTGCATGGAAGGGAAGGAAGAGTGGCGGAAAGAATGAAAGCGTATGCGCTGCGTTCACGCATGCTTGAGTAAACCAGTGAGCGAATGAAATGCGCAAAGTGTGCGATGGGCCCACGGGTATCTCGATGCTCTTTCTGTTCTCTCCCCAGCAGGATGCGGGAAGTTCCAAGGCCAGAGGAGTCGGAGCTAGGCTGCCAGGCGCCATGCGCCGGGTCCTGCCACGCGCAGCGCGTCCTGCAAACTCTCAACGCATTCCGGCGGAGCGGCACCCTCACCGACGTGGTGCTGCGCGCCGGCGGCCGAGGGGGCGCGCCCGCGCGCCGGCCGCGACTTTCCGTGCCACCGCGCGGCGCTCAGCGCGGGCAGCGCCTACTTCCGAGGCCTGTTCGCAGCGGGGCGGCCAGAGCGCGGCCTGGCAGTGGTGCCCGTTATGCTAGAGGCAGTCGAGGCGCCGGGCGCGGAGCCGGCACCGGGCGGGGGCGCGCTGGGGGGGG